TTGTTTACCCTTAGAAATTTTTAAGTAATATACTCACTATAAAAAGAAGTTTATCTAAAAATTGCGATACTTTGGCCGAATACATTTTGAAATGTGAAGTCGTACACTTGAGTGTTACAAAATCTATATTAAAAAGATTACAAAAATATAGGGATGTGATTGGTTTTCGATATCCTACATGGTTTCAAATTCTTGAAATAATATTAAGAGAATTAACTTAACCCAGGGAACTCTCACATCTTGATGAGCTTGAATAGGTTTCGGTAGTTATGTTCTCTTAGCCAGATTGTTTAACTGCTGAGCATTTGTAGTTATTCATGAGAATATCTTCAGTGCTAACTTTACGTAAAAGTGAGCTTCTACTTATTCTGTAAGTTTTATATCAGTTCAACCTGAAACCCTTGTTTGTGATTGACTTTTTTCGCAGATTTTTTATCCAGTAGTTCTGGGATCTATGTTGACTGTCATTATTGGCTGATATTTAGCCTTGTGAGTATGACTGACCTCTTACTCATCGGGCTCATAGATTGGGAATACATTGATCGCTAGTTGTTCTGAATATCGGGCTTCTAGAAACTCTCTAGTATTCTTAGATTATTTCCTGTTCATAATTTTGTCATTTGGGTGGCTTAGCAATGTATTGCCTGACCCAACACAATAAGGTCAACCAAGAAAATCTTGACTAAAGTAAATGTAAGAGAAAATAGGACGAAAAACAGATTATGACGTAATTTGTAGGCTAAAAATCAGATGAAAACTATTAGCAAAGGTCGTGGATTATTCAGGTCGCTAAATTTCATAGTTCACACTACGGACTGGTTATACCTAACTAAAATCAGTTCGTGCTTTAAACTGTAAAATGAAAATTACCAAAGTAGACCGAGGGTAAGAACTAAATGGTTTTGACCTTAAAAAAGAACTGAGATTCTCAATTTCTACGACAAGAAATGGAAAGTGTTTTATGATTGATCATTTGACTCATTTCTATCGTCAATTGTCAGCATACTGTATTAATCAGTTTTTTATTTTCAACCATGTTCTCAAAACTATTCCGTAAGGTGTTTAAACATTCTTTTCTAAAATTATGTGTTGACGCATAGATGTGTCCCAATTATAATAACGATAAATTTACCTGTATAATGAATTACTCTTTAAAGATTTTCAATCGCTTCAAAAGTACAATATTCAATTTCCCTTTGCTTAGTCAGCTGAACATAAATGATCTTCATAAAGCAATTTCATCTTGTGCAATATCACTTCTCATTGACAGGAAAACCAATATTAACAAGTTAGACATTACCACCATCGGATACCAGCTCAGTGGTCTAGAGATTAAGCATTCGCGCGCCAGACCGAAATTCCTGGATTCGAATCCCCCCCTGTGGGATCGTGAATGGGCACAGTAGAGAAGTCCCATACTAGGACGAGACGGTCATTAGTGCTTTCCAGGTTTTCCATGGTGGTCTACCTTTAACTGACTCATGAACTCAACTATTAAATTACCAAAAATCTCCACAAAACTCTCTTCTGATAATAAGAATCCAGTTAATTTTTTAATGATAGAATATACTCAAACTTCACAATTGATTGATCACTGGATGGTGATCTTCTTCATGTGTGTCAAGTCCTTCTTAGTGCAGATTGAATGCTATCGACCAAGTTGCAATGTGGCCAATAGTCTAGGTGACTCGACATTGCGTGCACTATGTTGAGATAAGATGGCGGTTGGTGGTAGTCAACAGGAAATCCTGGACCCGGGTTTCATGCTATTCTGACTGGAAAGCTGGGTAACACAGGATCTAATCCGTCAAGGAGCTCCAGTTTCCTCAAGATTACGGGTACAATTCGCTGACGAGTGCCAATTATCACGATACCCGGGTCTAGGGTTTCCTGTTGACTACCTCCAACCACCATCTTATACTCAAACTTCCTTCAACAGTCTATCAATCTATTAAAAATGTTTTCTATCAAATAATAAGTGTATATCATTATTATTAATGAATTGGTAATTATTACTGAAGATGATAATAATCTCTTTATTGAAATGTACTCATACCTGAAGTTTGTGCTGATGATGTTGTTCAAAAGAACGATGGAAGCTCCACGACAAAATTCCATTTAAAAAAATCTATCTTAGTTAGAAGTTCGTTTTTCTGACTAATCATTGCATTCCTTTGTAATTCATTTTGTCATTTTTATTCTCGTCATATTAACATATTGTACACAGACTTCGACCAATGCACATAAATGACAGGCTTTATACTGATTATTGATTAAATGACTAATTAACTGAAGAATATTGTTAGTTTAGCTTAAATTATTCATAAAGGTTATCTCTATGCTCCTTTATGCATTCAGCTTATTCTTTTTATTTAAAGTAACCTAATTAGTCATTAGTTTTCTTACACAAAGACAAGAAAGGGGTATCTAAAACTCTTATAGTAAATACTGAACATACCTGATAAATTTAGTATTTTAAAATAACATATATTCATTTTAAAGGGACCAAGGCAATTAAATATATTTATATATAGTATCGTTAAATAACTTCTAAAAATGGATTACAGTATTGTTATATCCGGACGACAATAAATGAATGGTAGCGCTAGTAATTATTTATGGACTAATTTTATATATATATATATATTCTTATTGTATGACTATTAAGTAACTGGACGGCCGTCCAGTGCTTCCAGGTTTTCCATGGTGGTCTAGCTTCAACTGATTCATGATCTTAACCATTGAAATTACTACAATCTCCACAAAACCCATCTGATAATAATATTCATATTCCTTACATTATAAGCTTTTATTTGACTTATTAGTTACTGTTATATGATTTACTAATTTCAAGTTATTCTCAACCTGTTAATCTCAATTTCTCACAATCAAAGCCACTTTTGACTTGATCTTGTACAAATGTAATTTTCTATTTTATGGTGTGACGTGGTCTGATTTTGTCTGTATATAAACCCAGTATGTTTGAAATATATGATCTATATAACAGAGGCTAACATTTGTGTTCTAGACTCAAAAGGCAGGGCTAGGCAGGAAAAGGATCAACAAGGATTCTAGGCTACTCGTACAGCTTTATGAATCAATGGTCTGGTCTACAAGTCACTGTTCTTTAATTGGCGGTACCATTAAGTTACACAAGGCCACAATTTATAACAAGTATTGTACATCCGAAAAGTATATGTCGAATAATATAATGTCATAAATCAGAAAAGTGTACAGATTTAGGATCAACCAGTTTCTAGTATTATTTTAAAAAGTTCATTTAAGGGCTATCAGAATTAATTATATTAAAGGAAGAATGACAAGTATTTTCACACTATAATATGTAAATCACAGTTTACTAAGATTTATTTAATGTGGTTGATATTCAATTTTATGAAATCAAATGTGGTCTTGATCAACATTTTAATCAGTTTTTATGTATTGGTAATCAAACAAAGATAAAAGGTAGGTTTCAGCTTGATTGCTTTGCTTACAAGGGGAGTATATTTATGGGTAAAAAATGAACTATTCAGGGAAATAATTTTTAATAGTTAAATTCATGAGTCAATTGAAGCTAGACCAACATGGAAAACTTGAAAGCACTGGAAAGCCGTTTCGTCCTAGTATGGGACTCCGCAGCAGTTGGCATCCACGATCCCGCATCGCGAGACTCGAATCCAGGATCTATTATTTTTATGCGCGAGCACTTAACCACTAGAACACTAGCCGGCATCCAACAGTGTTAATGTCTAACTTCAACCAATCCAAGGAGTTGCGCCACCGTCCACCATTTTCATCAGTGAGTTACTATCCCACAGCAAACCCGGTTGAACTCCACGGTTACGGATTCTTACTAGAACTCCAGGAAATACCTCTTGGAGACCGTCACTAGTGAGCATATGATGATTATAATGTGATGTTCCAAACAGCGAGAATTACGTAGTAAAAGTTATTTACGAAGCTCAGCTACAAAAGAGAACTAAAGAAAAGTAGACAGAAGAAAACCTAATCTGACTTTAGGTTGCTCGAACATCAATGATTGGCACAGAAGCTAATGGTCAACGTTCTTTTATTACAGTCATTTCCTCGACATGAGGACACTTTTTACAATAAAAAGTCAGTTTTTCGCATACACTTTCTATTTACATAGTTGTGGATGAAGGAAATCATAGAAGCAAATATTATCGAACAAAAAAAATGGATACTGCCAAAGGATGAGGTAAATGGAAGGCCATGAATTACTTAATTTGACTCTTTGATCCACTCAAGTTATTCCCGGTTGTTCGACAATATTTCCAGCTATAATTTACAGAAACCTTTACAAAAATCTGTTTGAATGCCTTATTTCTTATGTTCTAATAAGGTTCTGCTTTTAGTTCAGTGATTTGTTAGAACAGTAGTTTAGATTTTAATTTAGTTCTCATTGTCTGTCATCGAACAGTATCATTTAGGCTAAACAAAATACTTCAATTAGTGAGTTTTTAAATGGGAACTCAGACTATTTCTCCATTGTGTCGTTAAAAAAAAAACAAGAAGAAGAAGACAAAGAAGGTCAAACGAATATATGGCAACATTTACAACTGAAAAATCTGAACTAGTTGAATTGTGACCCAACTTTGTGTTAATTCATGGTTGTAGAGATTGATGTGTCAGTATATCCTTTAAAATTATACAAATCAATAAATAGATAAACAACTTCATGATTCGTTAATTCAAAATGGCTAGACATCATAATTCAACCAATAATAATGAAATAGAACTAATTGATATTACCATTGGTTGATATAATTCGGTGGATTGTTAAGGCTAAAATATAAAAGCAGAAGTGTTCACCATAGTTATATATCGTTACTTCTGGTATACAAAGCAATGTCGACTGTTGAAATCCAAAATATCGTTAATTTCCGTACGAGTCTCGGCATATGGCCTCGGCCTTATATTTGATGTTCCTACGGGGGATGCAAAGAGACTATCCCAACACTCTAAGAGTGTTCCGGACAATGGGCGAATTCAGTGGCATACGAATGATTCTCAAACACACATCGAGTTCACAGTCCCTTGACTCACTATCTACAAGCGATCCGGAGATCTGTCAGCATCAGCGCATAGGTTTGCGAATACGAAGAGAAAGCGACAGAAGCACCCACACCTCGGTGATCAACGTGCCAGATCTGTCTCCTGAAACAGTCAGTTTTTTGAAAGCTGCACGATCGTCCTTACCACCTACAAGTCTGCTTGTTGCACGTATTGGTGATTCAAAGACAGCAGTAATATTTTTGTCTGTGGCTTCAAAGCCCCCTGTGGTTCTTCAAAAAAATGCACTTGTTTCCTGTCTCGAAGAACTTGAACAGTGCGGAGTGAACAAAGCGTATGTTGCTGTTTCCAAGCCGCAGTCTGGTGAGCCAAAGGTAGTCACTCCGCTTTTGAAAACACTTATGTTATTGGTTTCGAGATTCTGGCGGAGTTACCTCCCGAACTAGTTAGCCTGTCATCGGACTACCGCTTGCTATTCACAGACTTGCATGATTAAGCTGAATGTTAATTAACTTTGCATTCCCCTTTCTTTTAATGTAACTTTAATTTCATCTTAAAAAATAAATATATCAAGAATAGCTAAGTATTTTTGATCCACACTGCAATCGGTCATACGCTTTTACTTAGGCGTATTTTTGTGAAGTTCTTGACCCTCTTTGTTAATATGACTTGGTGTTTTGTTTTTTGGGCGAGTGGGATACAATACTAGTGAGCTATGGTTGTCGGTCAGCCTCGAATTGTGCGTCCTCCAGCGTTACCATATGTTTAATAACACTACAGCCGTCTGGTCGTGTGTGGTCTGGATATCTCCCGTCATAGTTACTTGTCGCTCGAATCATGTGATTAGATCAGGAATGAAGTTGTTTCCGTGTTAGTACTTCTGATTAGATCAGCTGCTATGTAGCCATAAGTTGGCGCCTGCTCCGACCTCTGTTCTAAGTTTATTCACATATCCCACTATGTCTGAATGTGAACTTAGTTACAACGAGAACAGTCTTAGCTACGTCATGAATCGCAGTGTTGCTCCTTCATGGCTTTATTTTTCGTCCTCTTGACTAATAGCCATCATTGTCTGTAGTGAAACAGTATTTTCACTGATGCTGAATACATCGGATTACAGCTGATTTTAGTGCTCACATATTCGTTCCTGGTAGGATAGCATATCTAGACTTAAATGTTCATTCAGTCGCAATACTATATTCATGTGTACCATCCGGTGCTAGCGTGGATTAAATTATTTGTTTAGAATGTATCAGCTTTTATTATTACCTGGAAGACGTAATATCAGAAACTAGCTATTACATGCTTCTGATCGATTATGCTGGATACGTTACTTTAGGATCTTATCACCCTTAAATGATCTTGACGGCATAAGATGTCAGCGCTTGAAAACATTATAACACGACAAACAATCCAGACTGATATAAATGGTGCTTAAGTTGAAATCTCATTGTCTTCTACATAGTCCATCAGGTATTTTGTATTTCGTGCCAAGTTTCGAGTCCATAGGTCCTATCAATAATTTTTTCTGTTAGCTCTGATGAGACAAGTTAGATTTCCCAAACTCTCTGTGTTTCGTAAACTTTCAGATTATCATAATTATTCCTCCACAGTATGTTAATTAGCGTGTACAATAGTTCAAATTCTCTAAACATTAACGGAGAAATTAAGTCATTTAATTCAGTATCCCTCAAGTTACTGATATTCTGCACTTCACGTTATATGTGCAATAAAGTGTAATCATCTTGTAATTTAAAAATAAATGAAAGACTACAGTACAAGACCTTGTCCAAGTGAGTCGAATGTAGTCTTCAGGTAACGTGGCTTTCTGTTCGACCTGTCCTAGTGTAGACCCTGGCCACAAAACCCAAAACCGTACAGATTCCCTCAGATGTTTCTATTTTCTAGTACAAACCAGACATCTGACAGTTGTGTTTTGAAACATTAAGAACTTTAACTCGTATTAGTTGTGATCTTTTTTCAAAGTTCGGGTTTGTTATTACCGGATGTTTTACCTGATTAAGCCGAATCGGGTGAAGTAATCTGATAACAGGAAGCATAAATTGACTTTTTAATACGTCCTGTCCATTTAGTGAGTTTAGGTTAATGTATACATCAACGATGACTTCAATGTTTCTCTTAATATACCTGTTTATAATGAGTCACGATAATTACATTAATCCTATTAATTGATAGGTAAGAAACCTCTCGTCAGCATGCTCAGGGCTTTTCGGATTGAATTCCGTTTATCAAGAGATGAGAAACTATATCCATCAACAATTGCTATATTGACGGGAATCTTACGCTAGCCAAAGTTTATTCGCTTCAAGTTTATGTGGGCACAGAATTCAAACACACCGTAATATGTCCTGGTATTTTCCAGTCCTTAGAATGCACCTCAACCGAATGTGTTCGGACACTTGTCCAGATAGTCGGAAGGTTCAACCTATGCTTCATGCAGGGCAAAGCTTTCCATCAAGACAGATGCTCATCCTTACGGAAGCTAATATTCGTGTCAATCAGAAAAGTTTCCACTGATGTATTTGAACATAATGATGTAATATCTAGAATGGATATTTATAGGTTAAATGTACTTCACTTCTCATCGGCTCCGTAAGAAGGATTGAACAAGACGAGAGGTGAATTATTTATAATGATAATACCAAATGATAATGAGACTTGAATAATATGAAGTTATTCAGTGTTCAGAATTTCATAGATGTAGAATGTATGATTATGATATTAATTTCCTGTCCTTAGAGTGGATTACTGTTTTATTCCTTTTCTTCTATTATTTCATAAATCATTGGCTTTCCAGCTCATATCTCTATGACAATCCTGAACAACTGTCTTGTTATACGTACTACAAGTACCTTTTTCATATCTTAAAATTACATTGGGATCCAAAGTTTCTGGTTGGCTGACACTTCTTGGTTGTTCACACTGCAAATGGATACTTCTTGAGGTGCATGAGAAGGAAACCGGGTTGGCAGTGGTTTTGGCGTGCCTGTAGAACCTTAGAAATAACCTATTGAAGCTTGTCACACATAGCCTTTATGTCCCAGGATTATTGCGTGAACTTCTTATCAGTCTACGTTTAAGTTAAATGCGAAGCTACAGGGAATGCGATAATAAGAGATAGGCATTTGTGAGAAAATTATTGGCTAATGAGCTGAACTCAGATAGTTTGAAGGTATTTTAGTGATTAACATGCCCTCCTGTTTTTCACATAGAGGATACTGTGTATGGTTTGTTGTTTTCATTTTCAGTAAGTCTGTTTATTTGTTGGTCACTTGTCTTCATTTAACTATTAACATCGTGTAGGCTAGCTAATTTTCAAAATTACCTTTCCATCTAAAAACGCAGATTTCAAGAGAAATGAGAAATCAGAACTGTCAAACAAAATTTATCTCACTAACTTTAGTGTTGCTAAACAGTATCCAAAAACCACTATTTACAATTTTGTCTCCAATCGAATTGTATGGTAAACTAAATCAGTTCGTATACACACCTTAATATACTTCAGATTCCATCATTAAAAAACTTTTTTTTTAACCGGACGAGCTTGATATGTTAAATAGTTATATTTCTTCACGTCTACGGAAAGGAGCGCCATTTTGTATGTGCTAGGCGTTTTGATTACTCATATTTCCTACTGTCTTAGTTTTTTTTTAATGATTTCTTCACACCATGTCTCTTCTTGGTAAAACTGTACTTAAAATTAAGTATGCATGTAACACCATTGTTTGAGTCCCGACCTACATTAGGTCGTGGTTGAGGAGACCTATCGTGATAGCTCGGTCGACCTACATTGTCTGAAACACTTGCTCCCATCCCAGACAAGCAGGACAGGAAACAGTTAAATCGAAAGCACCAAACTCAGGGTACGAAGGTGAAGTCGTTCTGTCGGTTGTGAACAGATGTGACTCATGTAAGGCGTTTCCCTCAAACAACCAGTGTCTGCAGCAATTCTCTCCACAACTGAACAAATGAATTAGTAAGAGTCGTATCAAAAATATCATACATGACCTCAATTCAAGGAATGCTTACCAACGGTGGTGATAAAGTCATGAAAGTAAGAAATTAATTCGTCAAGAACTACTGGTATGAAAGCTATGTGTGACTGGTCTCAATGGGTTATCTGTTAGGTTCATCATTCATGCTTCCAGTTTGATAAAGCTGCTTACTTTTGACTTGATTTCGTTTTAGGTACCTCAAGAAGAACTGTCCCTTCACAATGTGGACAGCTATGAAGTAATAATTGCCTATAAACCTTCGATGGTACTCCGGATAACCGATATTACTTATATCTTTTCCACTTTTGTATAATTAGCAAAGCAATTAAATTCTTAGCAATAATCAGTCAGCCAGGTACAACGTACGACTAGGCACATATGTGTATCAGTCCAATTTGCCATACCTCATTAGCACAACAAAATTAACACCGAATTCATAAAAGTAGTTAATTCAGTAGTGGTAATATATAAAAGAAAAATTGTGTATGAGGATATAGCATAGAAGAAAGAATTAGTTCGTCGAAACAATGATATGAAGCGATTTTAATCTCACAGTTTAAGGGAAGATAGAGAGTGTATACACCTATACCATTATGATCGATTCTGAGCTATGTCACCAAGGGTCTCCAACCATTGGTTACGATAGTCACACGGACCCCAACCAATTAATCTACATCTCCCAACATGGGTCAGACTAGAAGTTAATGACTTCAATCACTGATGTCACGTTTTGGTTTGACCACCCCTAACTTTTTTCCAACCATCCTCAACACTAGTCAGCATTGCGCGTCGTATTAATCACTTTTGAATGATCTTATACTTAACCTCATAGAATAGAACTGTCGATTTTATCATTTAATATAAATTAATTAGTCACATTCAATAAGTTTTATATCTCCTGAAATATTGATATTTATTTAATCATAGAATGTTTGCCTACTTTTAGAAATCGTTTTATCTGTATTTTCTCACTAATTAATTTATGTTTTTCATATACGCTCCCCCTTAAAACTTCTTTATTCCTTTTTAGATTTTGAGAAAATTTTTCCCCGTATATGATAAAATCTTATTGATTTGAAAAAGTAAATATTGAAATATCTATCTGTGTATCTATACATGGCCCCTAAATGCCCTGGTACTGTCGAGAGTGGAGAGAGTCAACACTCCATCTCGAAACGCTCTCACGTGGTCACGCGTATATAGCCTCTGCCAGGGAAGTCGTACTCACTGCCTTCTCGTGGCGGGGGTATGGTTTACGAAATTGAGAGGACGAAAAGTGAATATCCGGCTCTTTAACCGGGTTGGTGGACACGGTGAGTCCACATAGGGGAGTTGGAAAACCCTGATTCCAAACCAATGGTGCGCATGGGCTCCAGTATCATGAGGGGACAAATGGCGTATGAACCAATCGTTGGTCACCGGCTATCATAAGACTGCATCTCCTAATGTTGCTTCATTGCCTTGTGGATCAGACCTTTAG